AACCACAGCTCCACCAAGGCGGGGAAGAACCTGCCCCAACCCCACATCCAGGCAGGTCTCAAGGAGCTTCACCAAAGCAGTTGAGGTCTCATCCCCTCTCCCAGGTGGGGACAGGGAAGCCAGCCCTGAGCTCTGTCCCCCACCAGGTCACCCACCCACAGCACCGTTTCATGTTTCCCAGTTTCCAAACAGACCCCACCACAACCATCCTGGCACTGGGCTGTGCCGGACGGGACAACACAGCGATGGGACAGGAACCCAGCACCGATCCGGGCTCTCCAGCTGCCTCCAGCCGTGTGGGCACCAGCTGGAGCAGGATCGCTGCCCTGCCTCGGGGACAGGGACGGAGCCAGCAGCAGCTTCACTTGCTCCTGATGACTACACAAACTCTGCAAAAGTGCTTTTTTTAGGATGCTGAGCACGCCCCGAGGCTCTCCGTTAATACCTTCAGCTTCTTAAGTCAAGTGCCTGTGTTTGAAAATTTCTCAGCTGCGGCAGTTTTCTCCCTTCACGCGCCTTTGCAGAGCCGCCAGCTTATTTTTCTACTGTCTCCTCAAGCCATCCCTGTTCTCAGCTCCGGAGCCACCTTTCCCTGAGCTGACGCTGGGCTTTTTCCTTTAAGGGCTCGTGTTTTGTTTTGCTAAATCCTGCTGCCCCAAATTCCAGCGGAGCTGGGTCGGGACCCACTTCCCTCCCATGTCCCCTCTGGCCCAGCAGAGCCTCTGGGTGCCCCCAGCCCAGCTCCCTGCACCCCGGGATGGTCTCCCCGCCTCCCCCTGCACCCTGGCCAGGGGAGGAAGGGTGCCGGGAGCCACGGAGAGGAAGCGGTTTTCAGGGTGGGGATGGAGCAAAGGAAACTTTCGGAGCTCCTCCACCCAAACAACATCATCCTGAGCAGGTTTCCTTCCGGCATCACCCCCCTAAATAACCGCTACCGCTGGCTTGCCGGCGGCTGTGCCCTCACACTGCTCCTCCCGAGCCCCGGCGGACACCATGCCACGCTCCCAGCCTGCTTGGGCTTTTTCCCTTCCCTGGCATGAACCATCGCTCTGTGGGATCTCAGCGGGTGCAGGAACGGTCTCCGCAGGGCAGACCACCCTGTGCCAGGGCAGGGCTGGGCAGCTGAGCACCCAAGGGACAGGATTCCTCCCTGCAGGGACCGCAGTGCCACTGGGGCATGGGTGCTCCCAGCATAAAGGGTCAAAAGTGAGGTGGTACCCGGCTGGCAGGACCATGCTCCAGGCAAGGGACATGAGGGAACCAGGTCCTCGGGCAAGCGCCA